TTTAAGCACAGAGCTGCTCAAAGAACCTGTGACAGTTCTACAAGCAGCCATGCAGCCGAAAAAAGAAACGGGTCAACACATAAACACACACACACACACACACACACACACACACACACACACACAGTCACTCACTCAAGAGTCATGTGCTTCATTCAGCAGGATACAATTTGAAGAGAGGGCTGCTATGCGTCTGTGTGTGTCTGTGTGTGTGCGCGTCTTTATTTTTCCTCCATGAAAATGTGCGTTTCCTCTCAATGTTGCACTTCTGAGCCTTCAAAATAAAACAACCTTGTATCCTGCATCTTCAAATCAAAGCAGCAGCCATTATGCTCAGTCAGCAGGGTAATCATCAGCCGTGAGTCACGGCAGCACAGGCCGTTCAGGTGACACACCTCAGCTGAGGGAGAGCTAATAATTGACAGTATTATATCCGTAAATAACAGGAAGAGCTGAAACAGCTGCAGCCACATGTGATACCAGTTAAGCCCTCTCAGACAGCTGGCTGTGTGTGGGCTGTAAACGTCGCCGTGAGAGGCACAGGAAGCGTTTGCACTATAAGTTACTACATTATAATGACAGCACAGAGTCAGCATTCTGGGGCTTTCCAGCTGGCAAACACGCACTAGATCCATTTTCGGACACGCAGGAAACCTCGAGTAACGCTTATGTTTTTCATAGTTTCTTTTTATTATTATTATTATTATTATTATTATTATTATTATTATTATGAATAATGTTGTCATTTGTACCACTTGCTGACAAAACAGCATTAAACAGTTAAAGGAAACACCTCGATGAAACATAGCCATAAACTCTCAAATTAGGTGTTCATCTCTGCAGAATCGGCGCACATGACGTATGAAAATGTTATTATTGTTACGCGTATTTAGTTGACGTCAAAATCTGGAGACAAATCCTTTTAAAGAGAAGTCTGAGCTTGTCCGATAATGGAAGCCTCTCCTAAAACTGTTGCTGTCCGATAATGGGCGCGCTGGTAGTTGCACATTCCCGACTTTCCTAATCCAATTAAACCCACAGAAAGTTGGTATTTTCGCGGTTAAAATTGAACTTTTCGCCTTTCGGTAACCGTACCTGTCGATGTGCCAATCGGTGCTGGATTCTAGCGGTTAAATTCCTCCCGTTTTCCCCGATGGGCCGCTGCTGATAGCCGGTGACATGGCGCTGCGGTGTCCCTGCCGCTGCTCTCTGGCCCCGCAGCTGCGGATGACGCTCATATGACCCGGCAGGGGCTGTCACGCCTCCCGTCACCAGGCGCGTTCCTGGATCAAACCGACGCATCCACAGTCTAATGTGAGTTTCTCACTGTGAAGAAATGAAAGTGAAATATACAGTTGGCAATGTGTGTGTGTGTGTGTGTGTGTGTGTGTGTGTGTGTAGGTTTGAAATAGACACTGCGATCCTCCAAAGTGTTCCAGAATAAGGCAGAAAATGACAGAAAGCATAAGAAAATCAAAGATTTCACAGTTTTATTGAATTATATTAAGATTTTTGTCCTGTTTTTGTTTCGTTAAATACACGTTTACTACTTCAGGCCTCTACAAACCATCACTATGACATGTTTGTATTAAGAGGTTTTAAGCAGATATGAATCGTTTGAAGGGATCATAATCCACACACTGCAACACCGTCCCTCCTGCACTACAACAACAAGTGCAAATATTAAACATTTATGCACCTCTGTAGGTTTATACGTCTGCAGAAGTAAAGAGCTCAGACTAATGTTTTGCAAATATGTACAAGAAGGAAGAAGTTTACATACACTCTTCATGAGTCACATGGCCATTCTGGGCTTTTAATTATTCGTGGGGCTGTTGAATGATTGTACTACACACATGTTTGACGACTTTAGAAAACTAAAACTGGGTGCAAAAGTTCAAATTTATTTTGGATTTTCTCTAATCCACACAGGGTCAAATCTATAAACACACACACTAGTATTTGGTTGTTGCTTTGCAAGTTGTACTTCAACCAGATGCTTTTCATAGCCATCAACAAGCTTTGGGTATAATTCTGTATATTTTATTAATGATTCTTCCCAGAGGAGTGGAGTTCATTTAAATTGGTTGGTTTCCTTGCACAGCACCGGCTTTTAGTCATAGTCCACAAATTTTTAGGACTGAGGTCAGGACTTTGAGAAGAACTAAGATTAATGTTAGCCTGCTCTATCAATTTCAAAGCGAAGATTGATAAACTTGAGGTGTGTTTGGGATTATTGTCCCGCTGAAACACCCGACTGTGTCCAAGTTCCGATTTGAGGTTAACTTGAAGAATTTAGAGGTAATAATCCTCCTTCTTCATTATTGCATCCACCTTGTGCTGTATACAGAACCACTGGCAGCAAATCAGCCCAAGAACATGATGCTACCACCACCAAAACATACATCATCGGCTTGTCCATGTGAGCAACTGTTAAATTTCATTTGACCTTAAAAGTGTCAACTTTGGACCAGGGGATAGAACTCACTTTACCTTGGACAGTGACACTGGTGTTCCAGGATTTTCCAGTCCATTTCAGGCTTGAGCCTTGGTGGTTCCTGGGTTGTTCTGGAATATCCTAACCAATTTCATCCTAACAAATCTGACATTCTGGTTCTTCTTCCAATGGTGACACATCTGTACAATTGTTTGAACTGACAATTATGGAATCTGCAGTTGCTTAGAAATGGCTCCAAGAGACCTTCCCAACTTGCTTATCCATCCATTCTCTTCCCTCCTTCCTTTTAACCAATTCGGGGAACCAGGAGGGCTGAAACCTATCCCAGTTACCATAGGATAGAGGCGGGGTACACCCTGGACAGGTTGCCAGTCTGTCGCAGGGCTAACACAGAGAGACAGACAACCATTGACACTCACATTCACACCTACGCGCAATTTAGACTCATCAGTTAACCTAAACCCACTAACTGGACTGTGGGAGGAAGCCGGAGTAACCAGAGAGAATCCAAGCAGACTTGGGGAGAACATGCAAACTCTACACAGAAAAATGGTTGATTCAAACCCAAGACCTTCTTGCTACAAGACAGCAGTCCTAACTATCTCACCAACAGCTGCCACTCCAACTTATGTAAATCTACAAGTCTCTTCAGTGAGTTCCTTGAATTTTCCAATTGTTCTGAGTATTCTGAGTCAGTCCAATGAGTGCTGTCAAACAAATCCTTTTTATGCTGCAAAGATAAACTCCCTGCTGCACCCAATCATAATCCCTTATGAGGAGTTAATGGGCCTTAGCTTTGTTAAGACGTTGTAGAACCTACAGCACCACCTATTCAAATATTAAAATGACTGTTCTTCAGAGTAATTAAAAATGGATTCCGTACAATCGTTCCACCCTTAAAACAAAACAGCTCAAAGAAACCATTAAAAGCCCAAAACTAGCATCACAGTCATGCCCTTGATGAGCAGATGTAAACTTCTCACCACAGCTGTATGTGGCTGCAGAGCATCAATCTGACAGGCCACGCCACTAAAATGCTCCTTATCTACTAAAGAGATAAGGAGCACAGGAGAGGAGATGGATTGCAGACAAATGCACCAGTGTTGAGACACCAAACACTTACTGGAAAGATATGGTTTGTTTGTTTTTTCATATTTGGCCATTTTACCTTCGGCCATCCTGGAATGAGTCTGCTGCAAAGATCAGAAAAGCTGCAGTGAGCCAGGACGTGACATAAATAATGACGCAGGAAGAACAGCTGAGGATAAAAATAAGTGATTTTCTCTGTAATATCTTCACACACACATAAAGACTGCTTCATGTGACATCACAGTGACGTGTATGTGAGTCATTGTGCCACGCTGGCTGGAGCACCAGGGGATATCCGCCCCTCCGGCTGCTGGGGAGGGCAGATTACTGGCTCACATGCTCAGAGTACTTCGGGGGTCACATGTCTCATCTGCTGGATTCAGTTTGCCACAAATGAATGGGATACTGTAGAGCAGAGGCATGTTTTAAAGAATTCCCCGCCAGTGGTCAAGGCATTAATGGATCTTTAGATCAGTAATGTAAGAGAGAGTGGCCAGTAAAAGCAGTTAAATGAGCTACTGTAAGTAGAAATAAAACGAAGGGCTATTACAGAGAGTAGAGACACAGGAAATGATTCAGCGGGAAGAAGATGACGACAGCTGCTACTTGAAAACCCATGGTTTCAGTCGGAGACTGCAATGACTTGGCATTTCAGCCAGTAAAGATATAGTTTATGCTTTCAGCTGTGGGTTTGAGTGGTCACTTCATGAAAGACAAAGCACAAATCCTGTGGGAAAAATCTGGTTTAAACCACAAGTTTCCACTCTGCATCCCATGTGACCAATCCTCCTGTTTCAGAGCTGAGTTTATGACACTCAAATCATGTAACTGGTCACAGGAAAGCCTTTATAATACCAAATGATGTACTAGGGGTGCAATTTTACAGCGGGCAGAACAGCTGAAACAACCAATCAACTAAATGGCTGGTGATTCATCTGCAACAATGGCAGTTTAAGTCAATGTATTATGTAAATGTGTAAAGAAAAGCCTTCAAAATGTATTATTTCAAAACTAGCAACACTGAGTATCTGAGCTCGGAATCTAAGAAGGTCATGTTCCAGATTCATGAACATTTTTAACTCCATAGACGTCGAAAATAAGAAAGTAAATCATTAATGAAAGTTCTACACAGCATGACTGTTAAAAATCTGTTATTTTCATTATCAGTTAGCCTGCTCTTAGCTGCTGAGTCATGTATGTTATCCATGTGGATTCAGAGGCAGACCCAGCTGCTGTGGTACCACTGCTGGCCACACCGGCTGCAGGTCACAAAGGTCATTGCATCCTCGTCTGGGCCGCCCTGCCTCACCCACGCAGGCAAGAACAGAACCCCTCTGGACACCTGCGTCACCCTACAGTCGGACCCCCCGCATCTTTTGCAGCGAATCTTCTCCGTCCGCGTCCCCTCTATCCCTTGAGGAAGCTGCCTCTCACTCACGCCCTGGGAGGAGTACTCTTCCCTCAGCTGCCGCAGCTCTGCGCTGGCCATATCCGCCGCAGACATGCGGGCGAAGGTCTCGGGGGACAGGGAGCCGCTCAGGAGGCCCTGATGCAGGTGGCCGCTTTTGGGATTCCTCAAGTTGGCCACCTTGCTCCTCACACAGGCTTTATATTTGACCTGGTTGTGTTTATGAAGTTCGTGGACGTGCCGCTCGATGTCTCGTGCCAACTCAGCAGCCTTGTGCTGATCGGGGGCAGAGGGGCAGAGGGCAGCAAGGAGGAGCTGCACGCATTTGGTCCTCACGTTATCTGGAGATGAAGCAGAAGTATGAGCTTTGGGTCCAGGTTTAGCCTGCATAGATGACTGTTCTCCTGCAGCATTCCCCTCTCCACCATCACATGTTTGGGCAACAACCGCACCACCCACGGCCTCTTTTGGTAAAGAAACACCGGCAGGGAGCTCAGGATCCTCACTCTCCTCTGTGCACTTCACCCCTTGCCTGTCCTTCGTGTACTGTCTCTTCCACTTGGACAGCAAGCTCTTGACTGTCTTCTTCACGCTGTCATCATTGCAGGTTCTCAGGAGCCTGTAGAGCACTTTGACGATGTCCGTTGTTTCCAGCTGTTCCGCTGTGACGTGAGACTTCTGGAGGTCACCAAGGAGGGTCATGATGTTCCCATAGCTTCTGTCTGCACTGAATTTCTCTATCTGAAGAGCACAGCGGAGCATCTGCTTTGGATCCATCGTGGCTGCAAAGACACAAAAGCAAAGATGAAACAATGAATGTTTTTTTCTTAATGTGGTGATGTTTGCCCCTCACTGCAAAATGAAGCAGTGCTCTCCTGAAAGCACAGCAGTATGTACCACTTAGAAACACATTAAAATAGACTTTTGCACGTGTTTACCTGAGTTCCTTCATGGTTTGCAGTTTCTTCCTGCTAACAGTGAACCTAGCAAACGTCTACACGGGAGCAGCCATGTTGAATGTGTCTTCACGGGAGAAAAATGCCAGCATTCACCTCTAGATGGAGCTGTAGCCTCACAAAGGGAGGGTAGTGCAGGTAGTTTCCCATCAGTTTCTTAAAATGGAACTATATGTATATATATATATGTATGTATGCAATCTTTTTTCCCTAAAAACAGGGATTGATGCAATATTATAAATGAAACCTCTTTGCAATGAAAGTGACCCTGAATCCCCGAATCATCCTTTGAGTACACTGCGGCCTGTTTAATCTGAAAGTATCCCAGCAGAGCCTTCCAGCTGTGCTGTCAGTCTGTGATTTATCTAAAATGTACTGTGGGATTAGTGCTTTATGTGAGGATTTAGGTGTGTGCTTTTGGATTTTGCAGGTTACTCCCACGGCCAAACTTCTGTCTATTTTAACGCCTCTTTCCTGTTTTTCCCACAATAACAAATGTGGATGAACCTGCGCTAAACCACACGAGGAGCTGAGGGTGTTGTCCAGACAAAGTGTTCGATTTCAAATGTGTGTTGCATTAATGGCTATTATTATAGCCTTGTGTTCCTTCTTTTCAGCCCCTGAGATCGAGATGAAAGATATTTGGTTCGGCGTGCAGAAACGTGTAATCCTCGCATCCAAGCAGCCAAATGACCTGCAGACAGGAATTTAGTGGAACACATCTCGTGACAAGATGAGGCAAGTCTTTCAGCTGTGCTGCAATTACATGTTGTGATGGAAGAAGATGATTGAGTGTTTAGGATAATTCATGGTTGTGGAGCTAAGACCAGAAACGTTCCAGCGGACGTATCCGTTCGCACGTAGTTGTTAGTATTTCGTGGAAACCTGGAACGTGGTTTGATGTAATCACACCATCGACGGTGACGTGAATGAGAGAAAAATGGAGGCTTAATTGCATGGCTGAAAGGTTGATTATGTATTAATTGGATGTTGTCTGAATGGGAGCATATCTGAATATTGACAAAACAATTCAATAATACCTTTAGGGATTTATGGAGTGTACGGAAATTGCTGGAGTGATGAGGGAGGCTGATTTAGTCTGTTTGTTTTTTAGTTTGCCTATTTTGCTGCTTTATTCCCTTTTTCCCAACAGCACGGCACATTCATCATCATTTTTCGTTTCCAAACATGCAGCACTGACTCACTCGAACACACTCATACTAACTACTAAAATAATATAACGAAAAGGAGTTAGTGCTTTTCTTGGTGAGCAAAGAAGACCAAATGTAAACTCACCGCTAGGACTGGTTTGGACCCTCTTTTGGCTTCAGAACAGCCTCAGTTCTGTGTTGCACAGATTCAACAAGCTGGTGGAAACATTCCTTAGAGTTTTTGATCCATATCGACATGATAGCATCATCCATTTGTTGGCTGCACATGGCTCCGTGATGTGAATCTTCTGTCTAACCACATCTCGTTGGTGCTGCATTGCGCTGGGATCTCATGACTGTGAAGGATATTTGTGACACAGTGTTTAATCCTGGAAGCAGCCAGCAGAAGATGGTACACTGTGGTCATGACAGCATGAACATGGTCAGCAGCAACACTCAAGTAGACTGTGGTGTTTCAATAAGGCTCAGTTGGTACTCAAGGGTCGAACGGCATGCCAGGAAAATATCCCCTACACCGTTACACCAACACCAGCAGCCTGAACTGAGGCTGGATGTTGTTTATGCTAAATTCTAAACGCTGGAGCAGAAACGTTTGGTGAACTTGTGAAAATCTTAGACTCAGTTTTCTGTTAGCTGGCAGGAGTGGCGCCGGGTGTGGTCTGCTGCTGCTGTAGCCTTTTTTTACCTTTACATTCAGAGATGCTGGGATGGTTGTGATGAGTGGTTATTTTAGTTACTGTTGCCTTTCAATCAGGTCAAAGCAGTCTGCTCATTCTGACCTCAGCCATCAGCAAGGATCTGAATGCACAACACATCAAACCTTGAAGTAACAGAAGACCACACCCAGGGTCGCCGAGGCTACGATTTACAAACGCTCACCAAAAATTGGACATTAGAAGATTGAAAAAACGTTGACTGATTTGTCTCAATTTCTAACGCAACATTCAGATAGTAGTACACATTTGGAGTAAATAACATGAAAGCATGGATCATGCAGGCCTGTATCACCAGTTGGTGGTGTAATGGTGTGGTGGATATTGCAGAGACGATTATAGCGACTTATCTTGCAACATAAGGCTAAAGGTAAGCACAAAAATAAACGATGTCAAGAGGCGTTCCTATACACAAGAAACAAATCATAAAACCCTCTACATTATCAAAATCTTAATTATAAGGACAAATGTTTTTGTACAATCCTTTATAAGTTACTTGAGAATATATGTATTTTTCTGCCCATGTAGGAAGTATTATTTTCACATCTGAGGTGCTGGTTTCAACAAATTTGGCGATAGCTGCAGTGGCAGAAGTTGTAAAGCCTTCCACGACTCCTCTGACTGTGAATTGCATTCATAAATTAGAGATAAACAGAAACCACGAGCTGCCTTTATATCAAAATGAGCTTTTTATTCACTGAAGCACTTTTAATAGTCCTGCCAAACCATATATGTTATTATTCACACAAAAGCCCAGATGAAATGTAATTAGACGAGCAGGGCGCCATTATGCAACTGCTGGTGTGACATCACCCTCCTGATCTTACATTAAAATGTGCTTTCAAGATTCACGCAGCTGGGGCCGATAGCAGTGCAGGCCTCAAGGGAAAATTGATTTGGCGTCTCTTCGCATAAAAGCTTCTGGTTCTCAAGTTCAAAGAGCTGCTTTTAAAACCCCAAATGGAAGTTAAAGCTTCCAGGAGGCTTTTAGCAGCGTTAATGTTTAACTTTTCTTCTCTGGCTTGAGGAGTTTTCTTTGAGCGTGTGAGGAAATGTGCCGTGTGGGATATTCGAGGTTCTGTGAGCGAGCTTTCTTTTGTTAAGTGCATTTTGTGAACTAAAACTCCAACCTTTTACACAAGCAGAAGGATCCTGAGTGTTGACCCCCTCCGAGGTTTGGATTGAGATGGGTGGGGTCCGGCTGAGCCATCAGTGGACACGTGTAAAACTCCTCTTTCTGTGGTTAAATACATTAAACCTGCTAAATTTTGAACCCTCAAACACATGCGACTGATTTCCGTCACAAGAGTCACAAGACTCCTTGCATCTTATCAAGTCATATCAGTGCGGCCTGCTTGCACTTGTGCACTTTCTTATCAGTGGGAATGGAATTTTACCAGCACGCAGCTGCTGTGACAGCCGAGCGCCGAGAGGTGGCGCTCTCTGCACTGCGCTGGTTTGAGCCCTTTGAGGAAGTGGAGTCCTGCTGTATCACATCCTGCTCTTGTTGTCCCCGCCTTCTAGATGGCGTGTACGCATGAGCGCACACACATACGCGCACACACTACCCCGCCCTGAGCTTGAGAAATTCTGAGGAGGAGCAAGGCCTTCTTGTTAGAGTGATCAGCTTTTTCATGGTCAGACATTCATGACAACATGGTAAGTCCCTGCACCCGCAACCACGACCTGCAAATACTCCCAACGCTGCCAAGTGCATGTGTGACAGACAGCAAAGTGAAAAAGTGTTATAAGCAATCGTCAGCCACATGCTGCTGAGTGAGTGTCAGTGCAATGATAAACCTTGTTCTTCACAGGGTGAGAGGAGGTTAGAAAACAGGAAGAGCTACGCATATTTGCTTTTTCTTGGCAGAAGTCTGATCGGACTTTTCGGTGGAGGAAGAGGAAATGTTTTTTTGTTTTCTTCCCATTTTTGACATTCCAAAGGAAAAAAATGTGAACTTTACCGCAAACAGCAGCATATTTATTGTTACCTATTTGTTTAAAGTGAAACGAGTTTTATCATGTAATGCTCTATAATTAGAGTGCTTTGCCTTTCAGATGTTATTAAATATGATGAAAATGATGTGTTTTATTTATTTATGTGGTCTCTCTGTAAAAGCACATGCGACAGAGACTGTGGGGTTTTATGCTGTGAGAGCAAAGTCAACTCTTATTTTGTATCCATGCTAAATGCTCTTGACAGGTCGTGTGTGTGTGTGTGTGTGTGTGTGTGTGTGTTGAGAGGGACTCTGGCAGTACCCTACCCATCATACCCTTCCCATCCGTCATTACCTTGAGGGTAATCACTGATGACTGGACTGGATTCTGTTTGTTTTGCCTCAGGGTTCATTCTGTTTTGTCTGAAGCGCTGCAAAGATTTTTCTTCTGTTTGTGTGTGTGTGGGAGGGGCAGGAGTAAGGGGGGGGGGGGTTAATAAATGTTATAAAGAGGCAAAGTATAGACAAAGTGTTGTCTTTTTTTAGCTTGTGCTTATTTGGAGTCCTGCAAACCCCAAAGCAGGAAATGAGCCTCCCCGCTAAGAGCACAGTTGCTATGTCTTCTCTTGCTGATCATAAAAATTTTCCCATTTGATTAAGAAAAAACCCTCTGTTTTATCAGAAGCGATGAGGAAGTGCAGACGATTGTGACTTGTTTGTGCTTTGCTCAACAGCAGAGTCAAAGCAGAATCACGAGACTCACTCGAACCCTTTTCTTGATTATGGTGAAACAATGCTGTGCAAGGTACTTTTTTAAGCAACTCAATTTCATAGCGTCTCTTGGGATGTGACGCAGATCTTGATAGCAGTTCAAAGCAGACTTGGGGGCTCAAACTGTGCACTCTGAAATAGTTTCATTAAATTGTTTCCTTTTGTATAACTGCCTCTGTTAACCCTTTGTACCAAAGAGAAAAATTTAGCATTGATTTTGCTATTCTGATCCTCTGAGGGTTCAACCATATGTTTCCTCCCCTGTACAAATAATTATCCACATTGATTCATCACATTTGTTTTCCCATGAACGCCCCCTTCCTCTCTCTCCCACACACACACACCAACTGGACGCATGCTCTGCCTTATGGGAAATCCACCAGCCGGTGGGCCCGGGTTACAAATAACCACATCCTCCCCACGTTGCTCACAGTTGTGCAGCATCCACTGGACTTTTGTAATGTGATCACAGCGGAGGTCTGAGGCTCAAAGTGTGCACAGGTGTGAGGTCCTGCTCTTTGCTTTGGTTCAGCTGCGTGTGACATCAATTACACTCAAATTTAAGACACACACCAAAAGACGAGTCTAAGGGATTCAGAGCAAGTATGTCTGATAGATGATGACACACGTTACTCACGGTAACCACATGACGTCCAACTGCAACTGAGCAGAGAAAAGAAACCAAACTTCTCTGCCCAACAAATACAATTTTGGTGACTCATGAAAAAATGCTCATATAGGTCTCAACTAAGCTCGCCTGTGTCACTCCTGAAGCCCAACAATCACAAATAAGCATCTAGTGTTGGCTAACATCGTCCTTAACCTTGTTCTTCTACACCTCACACAGTTGGCAGAACAGTTTATTTTATATAGCATTTTAAAATAAATTTCACTTGTGCTGCTGGTGGTTTATTTTTAGCATTTGTTGTTCTGTGCTCATATTTGGACATCTTAGGGCAACAAGAGCAGGAGCAAGAGCCCAAAGAAAAGGGCAGCCATTAGTGGCAGCAGACAGTAAGGAAATGGGGTGGAAGTGGGTTGCAAAGTGGTTTGCAGTGTAGCAGAAACCTGCTAATACTTGCTTAAACCACACGTCCTATATATGATTGAGTAATAGGATGGCCAAGTGTAACGCAAAAACATCAGCTGACGGGCACTGGCACTGAAATCAGGCGACTTTACATAATATTTGTTGCCATTTACAAGCCCTTCGTGTCTACATTTCAGTGTTTTTTTTGTTTGAAATATTTTTTCAATTCAATTTTAACAGCAGTCACCTCAAACCACTTCATATTTTAAGGTATAGACCCTACAGTAATACAGAAAAAAACAACAATCAGACAACCCCCTATGAGCGAGCAGATGGCAACAGTGGAAAGGAAGAACTCTCTTTTAACAGTAGGACTGGGGGAGGGGGGGCAGCCTCCTGCTGCGACAACTGGAGGGTTCCTTATTCTGCTTTGAATTTCCCATTAATTTAATTTGATTTATATAAATGTGTCATTAGATATAAATATCACACGAGGTTGGCTCCGGCCCACTGTGTGTATAAACGGTTCCTATAAAAAATAACATTAAATAATGCTGGAAAAGGTTGGCAGTGCTAATTATTTCTGTTCTGATTTGTTGACTTCTGCAGCAATTTTGCAAATCATCACGCACACACATCAGAAAGATTTTTCACTTTCTCATAAAATGTAAACCCGCACATAGCCGCCCCCCACACACAGTTAAACATCTCTTTGTAAACAACATTTAAATAGGTGTGACAAAGTGAACGATAACAGCTGAAAGTGCCTTTATCTGGGAGGGCGCTGCCTTGTGTGTGAATGGAACAACAGAAGGCCTTTGTCTGGTGTGAGCCATAATATCTTCTTTCACCCCGACATGAAGCAGAGGCAGGACATATCGAGCTGTTTCAGGGACCAGCTTTGGTATAAACTCCTCGGAGTCTAAATGTCCCAAGATAGCTCTGTTACTTTTTAACATGAGAAAGTTCCCCCGCGAGAGATTAATGATTCATCCAATACGCACTTTTAGCTTTTAGGGGGAAAAGGTTAACACAAGGTAGGGGATACACGCAACAGTCAAACTTGTGATTTATTGTTTTTCAAAAAGGAAAGGACAGAGAGTGCACGTTCTGTCCTTTTTCTTTTTTTTACATTTTTAGCCGGCCTCCCCCTCCCCCTCCCCTCTCTGGTGATTTCCGTTGGGTGATTGAGCCTGAATTCCTGATATCCCACAGTTAAGATTCATAGCCCTGCAGTGTGTGTGGACAGGACACTTCTTAACCCCTTAACTTTCTTTTACCTTTACCTTTTCCTCTCTTTTTGCTTTTCTTTCTCCTTCCTTTTCTCGCTCTCCTTCACTTTGCTGCCCCCACCACCACCACCCTCCAAAAACCCCCTTGTAGATTTACTAAATGCATTCCTCCCCTCCCCTCTTACATCCTCCTCTCGGCGCCTGTCCTCCACTTCAGCTGTCTGCTGGAGGCACGATCGGGAGCCGCAGTGTGACACAGAGTATGGAAAGCTGAAGGTAGAAAAGAGTGGGGAAAAGAAAAGTGTGGGATGAGGTGTGCTTGTGAGACTGTGCCTGGGCACAAGCCATGGGAGTGTACACACACATTTTGAGTTCATGTGTTTGTGTTCACACACACAAACGCGCATGCATGCTCTTACAGATTGCTGATTGGTCATGTTTCAAATACAACAGCAGCCAACGGAGTGCAGGAGTCATCGCCGCTCCCTTTGAGTAATCAGTAAGGGGATGTACAGACACACACACACACAAATGTATGTATGCACACAGACACACACAACAAACACAAACTGTTTTATTCGAGATGAGAGAAAGCTGTGAATAGAAAACGTGTTATAAGCAGTGGAATCACACCTACAGTTCTGATTGAACGAAAATAAAAACATTGAAAAATCATTGCGTTGTTGGACTTCGCTTTCATTATCATACAGCAACACAATATAAGTGAGCAGCTGTTAACACAAGGCCGCATTCAGTCTACGTAGAGAAAAAATCGATTAACATGAAAGCAGTAAACGCACCTTTACTCGTTTCATTACTTTTAATATTTAGTCAAACAGTCTAACTAAGTACGGTGCGACTAGTAGCTCAAATCAAAACACTTTGACTGTCACATCACATGTGCAGGTACACTGGTACAGTACAGGCGAGTGAATCCTTGTGTGCGAGCTTCACAAGCAACAGAGGCGTGCAAAACTACAATAACATAAAACAAGCAAAACATAAGAATGGCTAAATCTGAGAGTAATAAATATCTGTACAATATAAGAGTGTATGCATTACTGGATGTGTATACTAAATATGTTTTTCTACGTGTGTGTGTGTGTGTATACATATTTTACAAATTAAATAGAGTAAACAATAAATAAAATATATAAAATATACAGAGGTTGGTAGTTGGATATTGAGCAAAACAAGTGGACATACATACAGTGTGGAGTGCATAATGTTGAAAGCTCGTGTTAGCTACAGACGTGACTGTGGTCACCGAACATGAAACGCATCTCTAAATTCAAAAGGCCGCACGGCCAAATTTAGCCGCAGTAACTCTTTTTCTGTATGACTTTATCGGCCTGTCGCATCGCTGTGGAGGCTCAGGGTTATGGTTCTTTACAACGTTGCTTCAGTTGATTGAGGTTTGCAGGCATTTGTTTCTGCACGGCTCTTTTAAGGTCCCACCACAGCATTTCATTCTACTTGAGGTCTGAAGTTTGGGTTATTGCAATTCCTTGATTCTTTTCTTTTTCAGACATTCTGTTGTATCTTTGCAGCTCTGCTTGGGATCATCGTCCTTTTGTGTGACCTAATTTGGGCCAAGGCTGCTAAGAGTCACATGACTGTAGTGTTAGCAAAGTGTGGATGTCTTTGATGTACCGACTGCAGCAATAACAGACGCTGAAAACAAACAGGAGGGGATGAAGCATTGCGGAATTAACACAGTATTTATAAGATCAGTTGCAAGGAAATCCATGTTGCTAGACGCCAACCTACACATTTGCCAAACCACAGTGGGTTTGGACCAATCAGCATCCATCCATCCATCCATTTTCATCCGCTTTGTCCGGGGCCAGGTCGCGGGGGCAGCAGCCTAAGCAAAGAGGCCCAGCCCTCCCTCTCCCCAGCCACCTCCTCCAGCCTATCCGGGGGAATACCAAGGCGTTCCCAGGCCAGCCGAGAGATATAATCTCTCCAGC